GGGGGGGGGCACCACAATGTGAGGAACTTTATTTAGGGGTCACGGCATTAGAAAGGTTGAGAACCACTGCTCTACTCTCACCTTCCTCTGTCCAAAAGCCTTTTCCCCTCCTTCCTCACCCAAAAGTCTTTTTTTCCTCACCTCATTTGCCCCAAAAGCCTTTTGCCCTTCCACCCCCATAAACCCTTTTTTCCTCCCCTCCCTTGCTGCTCAGATTTTTTTACCCCTCGCCCTCCTTGCTTCCAAAACCCTATTTCTCTCCCACCGCTCGGGTCGCTTCGATTGTGCTTTTCCTGCATGCCAGAACAGGGTTGGAATGGATGGCCCCTGGGGTTTCTGTTATTATTATTATTATTTTACTACTGCTGCTACTACAAAGCCTGGATGGCCATCTGTTGGAGTATTCTTTGATTGTGCTTTCCCTGAATGGCAGTAGGTGGTTGGATTGGATGGCCCCTGGGGTCTTCCACTGAAATGCTATTAAGTTTATATTGGTTAAAATTGTTCTTCATTTTAAATATTTTATTGTTCTTTCTTTTCTTTTTTTCACCACGAATGAGAGATATGCAATGTGTACAAAAATTTGTTCTTTTTTTAAAAATTAGTTTACAGTAACATTCTCCATTTATCTGCTACTGGCCTGGACTGTCTGCAAAATTTTAATACACAACATGTCAAAACGTTTGCCCATGCCTAATATATTTGTTGTTCATTCGTTCAGTCATCTCCGACTCTTCGTGACCTCATGGACCAGCCCACACCAGAGCTCCCTGTCGGCCGTCACCACCCCCAGCTCCTTCAAGGTCAGTCCAGTCACTTCGAGGATGCCATCCATCCATCTTGCCCTTGGTCGGCCCCTCTTCCTTTTGCCTTCCACTTTCCCCAGCATAATTGTCTTCTCTAGGCTTTGCTGTCTCCTCATGATGTGGCCAAAGTACTTCAACTTTGTCTCTAGTATCCTTCCTTCCAGTGAGCAGCCGGGCTTTATTTCCTGGAGGATGGACTGGTTGGATCTTCTCGCAGTCCAAGGCACTCTCAGAACTTTCCTCCAACACCACAGCTCAAAAGCATCTATCTTCTTTCGCTCAACCTTCCCTAAGGTCCAGCTCTCACATCCGTAGGTTACTACAGGGAATACCATGGCTTTGACTAGGCAGATCTTTGACTAGGAGGATCCGCCTAATATATATGCATAATATATAATATAATACGAGGGGTATTTTTTAAGTAAGGTCCATTTGAACATAAGTACACAACGAAAGTTTATTTCAAAAAAGTAAATTTATTTTCAGAAAGTACATACTTCACTCTATTTTTGACATAGTTGCCAAGTTTGTTCAAACACTTATACCTCTGAACCAATTTTAAAATACCCTCTTCATAAAAACTTGCCGCCTGCTCCGATAACCAAGAGTTCACTCAAATCTTTGGTTTTTGTGGTCCTCTGTTAGGAGTTTCGGGACCCAACGGGAGCACAGTTTCCTAAACTTTAGGTGTTCAGAAACAATGTTGTAAAGCACTGATCTCGACACGTCAGGAAATTCATTTGAGAGACCTGTTATTTTGAAGCGCCTGTTCTCACAAATCCTCGCTTCAACTGGGATGGCTCGAGAAATGTGCTGCCTACCGGGGGCAAAAATACACCATATCACTCAGAGGCTCACCAGGCTCCTCAAGCCCTATCACCGTCCTCCCCTCATGTTGATTCATGTAGGAACCAATGATACTGCAAGGCATACGTTTCAAAAGATCACAAATGATTTTCGAGCTCTAGGAGCAAAGCTAAAAGAATGTAATGTACAGGTGGTCTTTTCATCCCTCCTCCCTGTTGTAAGACATGGACCCACAAGAGCCAGAAAAATAGTACAGGTCAATGAATGGCTTAGAAAATGGTGTCAGGAGGAACGCTTTTCCTTCCTCAACCATGGCCTGCTTTTCCAGGAGGATGGCCTACTGGCAAGGGATGGGGTGCATCTCACACAAGT